GGGTCTTAAACTACAGAATTGTCTGGAGAACTTAAATAGCAGTAAAAATCAGTGCCAGCTTCCTCACCCCAGACCCATTGAAATGGAACCTCTAGTAGCAGTCCTGTATTTTTTTTTATTATTATTAGTTTTTAATGCCTTTCAGCTAATGTGGATCAACAGAACCTTGGGTGATTCGCATAAGATATTCCCAGTGATAGTGCTGAGAGTCAGAAAGGCAACAGATCATTTCTATGGAAATAATTCTGGGGTTTAGGGAGGTAAAAGATCAGAGAAGGCTTCATTAAGTTCAAACATACAGTAAAAGAAATACAACATTTGGACTGGGAATAGAACTGCATGAACTAGAGCAGGGGTCCCTGCCTGCCCTGGGGCCACAGACCAGTACCGGTGGCCTGGTAGGAGCCACGCGGCACAGCCAGAAGTGAGTGAGCATTACCAGCAGAGCTCCATCTCCTGTCAGGTCAGCAGAGGCGCCCCATTCTCATAGGAGCTAGGAGCACGAACGCTGTTGTGAACTGTGCGTGCCAGGGATCTAGGTTGTGTGCTTTATGAGAATCTCAGGTGGAATAGTTTCATTCCCACCCCTACCCTCCCATGATGGAAAGGTTGGGGACTGCTGAACTGTAGTGCAGGTGTTAAGGATGATTGTTGATAATGAAGAGGTGGTGGAAATGACCTCACAGGGTTTTCTGCTGTGAAAAAGTGGCGTGTTGGGGGAACACTGGGAGCTACCCAACACACGTCGAGCGGGACAGGAGCTGGAGTGTGATGTGCTAGCAGCCTGAACAAAGCCGTGGCAATGAGAGCCTAAGGGGCGAAGGCAATGTGAGAGCATGGTGGGAGGCAAATTGACAGTGCTGTGACATGGAAAACATATGATATAAAATGTGCCCAAATAGCTTGGGAACAACCCCACATACGCCGCCATTAATGGGAATAGAAGAGAAGGCTGATCTGATTCAGCAATGAGTTAATGACTACTTAGACTTGATGAGTAGAGTTAAAGGGGGTGCAGCCAGCAGTTAATGTCCTGCAGGCTGCTGGCTTGTTGGGAATAATGCTGACTAGAGATGAGGCTGTGAGAGGTATTCCCATAGCTTTCTACTTGAGCATTGCGGAGTGTCTGAGACCCTCTGAGTGTCATTCATTACACAGGTGAGGAAACCAAGTTGCAGAAAGGAAGTATGGTAGGGCCAGGGAGGAGCCACGTGGATAACCCAAGTCCCCAGAAGTCCTGGTCCAGGGTTGCTGAAGGTAATGTGACTAAGGGGAAGCATTAGGAGTAAGGCTCCGTGGGGGTTGTTCCCCACAGAGTGGGGACAGGAAAAGCTCAGTCAGGCGTGAGAGAATATCTGAAAAGGAGCTGTTGCTGTAGTGCCCTGTATAGCTCAGAAGTGAAGAGGTAAGGAGAATTGGGGCAGTGCTGTTGGGCTGGTGCAGTTGGAGGGAGATGGTGACCTGAAGTCAGAAGAGTGGTGAGAAAGTAGAGGCCTTAGAAAATGTCCACTAAAACAATCTCACCATGTCCTTAGGATTATTATGAACTCACTAGCTCTCTGTCTTGCCTGATCATGTGATGGGTGTTATGCAAAACCATGAACTACACGTGTCCATTATGAAACCCATTGCTATAAACATTACACAAGTGATTATTCCAATTATTTCCTAAACTCATTCTTTGGGGAAAAAAAAGAATTTTGGAATATACTCATCTATTATTTCTTCTTTCCAGCACATTTTCTTAAATCAATGTAATCTTTCCTTGTTTCCCATACCAGTCACCTGAGGAAACTGACAAAGAGAAAGGTCGCCTCTCTGACTCAGAAAGGAAAAATGACTCAGCTGCAGAGGATACAAATGTGTATACTCAGAAACACTCAGACAGTCTGTTTAAACGAACAGAAGTCTTAGCAGGTGAGTAGCCTGGTGGGCGTCAGATGGGAGGGTGCCTACATAGGCCTCTGTTAGTCTGAGTGATATTTAAAAGTGCAGCAAAGCTTGCTATCACCTTTCTGCTAAAAGCAGTCTTGAGGGCCCTTCCTTCCAGAGAAAGAAGCAAGAGGCTCAGCAAACATTGTCATTATTGTTTGCCAGCTCCTTCAACCTACCCTTTGGCCAGCCATTGGGCAGGTGATGGGAGGTAGCCTAGAAGAGGGAAAGTTAACATCTGAATTGATCCAGAGCAGCTGGATGTAGAGAGATGGCAGAATGAGAAGATCCATCAGTCTTCAGGCGTCCCCAAACTTTTTACTCAGGGGGCCAGTTCACTGTCCCTCAGACCGTAGGAGGGCTGCCACACACTGTGCTCCTCTTACTGACCACCAATGAAAGAGGTGCCCCTTCCTGAAAGTGCCGCGGGGTCCGGATAAATGGCCTCAGGGGGCCGCATGTGGCCCACAGGCTGTAGTTTGGGGATGCCTGCTCTAAGGCATCCTACATTTCAAAATAAAGAAAAGTTCTTTAGTGGGAAGGCAGTTCACTTAAGTACTGCCCAAGGTGTTAAGAATGTTGTTTCAATTTTAACTTAATTGAATGGAAGTGCAGATATTTAAGGGGGAAGATTTAAGAACACTTGATGGTCTCAAATGCAAGAATAGAAATAAATTTGCATGTTTTTCCATATATACTCAAATTTTAAGTCAATTATACTATGTTTTGCGTTAAAAAAAGCAATTAGAAAATTAGAATATAAAATGTGACTACTGAAAAGACAAAAGTAGTTTTCAGTTACGGAATTAGTTAAGATCATGGCCAGATTTTTCTTATTGAGGTTTTTGGGTGGTATTATTAAAACTAATCAAAGAAATTATTGTACCTTCCTGAGGAGTTTCAGATTTACATAGTCACCTGCTTGCTTCATTGAATCTAGTTGTTTTTTTTTTTTTTTTTTTTTTCAGTTGGGGTTTTCAAATTAAGCCTTGTATAAAAGTGTATGTAGATTGGGCTTGACAACAAAGCTAATGTCCGCAACCCTCGAATCTCTTCTAAAGTCATCTTCCTTTTGGTTGTTTCAGCTGTCATTGCTGGTGGAGTCATTGGCTTTCTCTTTGCAATTTTTCTTATCCTGCTACTGGTGTATCGCATGAGAAAGAAGGATGAAGGAAGCTATGACCTTGGAGAACGCAAACCATCCAGTGCTGCTTATCAGAAGGCACCTACTAAGGAGTTTTATGCATAAAACTCCAACTTAGTGTCTCTATTTATGAGATCACTGAACTTTTCAAAATAAAGCTTTTGCATAGAATAATGAAGATCTTTGTTTTTTGTTTTTTGTTTTTTGTTTTTTTCATTAAAGAGCCATTCTGGCACTTTAATGATAAAATCCCATTGTATTTAAAACTTTTCATGTATTTCTTTAGAACATCATAAAATTAAAATTTAACATCTGCAGTGTTCTGTGAATAGCAGTGGCAAAATATGTTATGAAAACCCTCGATGTTCATGGAATTGGTTTAAACTTCTATGCGCAAACACAAAATGATTGTCTTTTTCCTATGACGCAAAGATGAAAGCTGTTTCATTTGTGTCAGCATGTCTCAGATTGACCTTATCAAGTTGGTCTTACTTTGTTAATTTATCTGTTGTCACCCTCCTCTCCTCTGCCCTCCCTTCTTGTGCCCTTAAAACCAAATCCTATGCCTTTTGTAGCTGTCATGGTGCAATTTGTCTTTGGAAAATTCAGATAATGGTTATCTAGTGTATATGTGATTTTCAAATATGTAAACTTTAACTTCCGCTTTGGATAAATTTTTAAGTGTCAGACTATCCATTTTACACTTGCTTTATTTTTTATTATCTGTAGCTTTGGGCAAATTTGCAACAGCAAATTAATGTGTAAAATTGGATTATTGCTACAAAACCGTTTAGTCATTTCTATCTAATCAGATCTTCTTTTGAGAGGATTTGATGTAAGTTACTGACAAGCCTCAGCAAACCCAAAGATGCTAACAGTGTTTTAAGAAGTTGCTGCAGATTCCTTTGGCCACTGTATTTGTTAATTTCTTGCAATTTGAAGGTATGAGTAGAGGTTTAAAGAAAAACCAGTTTTTGTTCTTAAAAATGCATTTAAGTTGTAAACGTCTTTTTAAGCCTTTGAAGTGCCTCTGATTCTATGTAACCTGTTGCAGACTGGTGTTAATGAGTATATATAACAGTTTAAAAAAAGTTGGTATTTTATAAGCACAGACAATTCTAATGGTAGCTTTTGTAGTCTTATGAATAGACATAAATTGTAATTTGGGAACATAAAAACTACTGAATAAATCATGTGGCCTAATATTGAAAATGTCACTGTTACAAATTTTGTGCATTTTTGATCAAATGTACATCTCCCCTTCGCTAACGGCCATCTGCTCTCAAGGATGACGTGGGTTTGATTTCTGAGAGTTCCACAGTGTCTGTAAATCAACACCAAAGAGCCTGTCAATGAGACTGTTTGTTACCAGATTCACTTCTGAATTGGCCAGAGGAAATCTGAATGTATTATCCTGTGTGTGTCTAGGTAGAGATACTGGAAAGCTGCCAGGGAATTTTGAAGTTTGCAACCTTTATAGAATAGCTGTTGGCAATATTAAGACGGACACCTGCTTTTGCAAAGAACTTTTAAGACTATAAATTCCAAAGATCTGAAGGGGGCTTTCCTGATGTTGGTATCTAAGGCTTAGGCCTATACATTGATTTACCTATGAAATTGTGCTCCAAATGTCTACTGAAGCTTAACGAAAGAACATATAAATGGACTGTAGTAGCTCACATTACAGGGAAGGACGATAGGCAGGGAGGCTCTGTGTGTTAAAATGAGGGCCTCACTGCTTTAGGATTGAAGTGGCTGGAAAGAGTGATGCCTGGGGAAGGAGATGGAGGTATGAGGGTACCCTGGCTGGTACTTTCTGTACTAAACATTTTATTTTTCTATTTTACCATTAATTTTGTATTTAAACTGAGAGCCATCCAAGAAGGAAGAAGACAGTAAAAATAGCAACTTTTCCAACATACAATTTACTTTTTTAATAAAGTATGAATACTTTATTTGGAGAACATTCCGTGGAATTGCCACAGAATTCATTAAAAACAATTTTTTTTAAAAGCAACACTTGGAACAGTATTTACTTAAGTCCTTAATGGCCTTAATTAATTCTCAAATTCCTGCCCCATCACTTACAGAATCAATTCACTTTAGAGTGACTAAAGGAAACGGTAGCACCTTCTAAAGCCACACAGAGTCCCTCGGTAACAGAAGGTAAGAACGGGTATACGTCTAACTGTGCAAAGCAGAGTGAAATTGAATTCAAAGAATAACAACTGCTTGGAATATCCGTGCCAGGAAAAGAAAAATTTCTGGCAAATATTTTGTCACTGCTGTAAAGCAAAATATTTGTGAAAGTGCCAAAATAAAGTCTGTCATGCCAAAAGTAAATCATTTGTAGACTGACATCCAGTTTTCTTCAACTGTACACTTTCTGCTAAGTTGTTTTTTTTTTTAAGATGCAGTAAATAATACTATAAAAAGTGGTAGTAATGATTACTGAGTTCAGGAAATTTTTGGTAAAATGTAAATATGAAAGCCAATGTGAAAATTTCCTGTTTCCTTAACCACATGTAAATGATTTTCCTTGAGTGAATACGGCTTTGTGTTTGAGAGACTTGAAATAGTCACGCTGTCCCATTTTCAGCCCATGGGGGAAATAGCACTTGGGTTTTGGTTTTGGTTTTCAGACTTAGCTGCAGGTGAATAGTACCTGAATTTCAGGATTAGGACCTGTTTAATAAAATTGAACAAGATTATAAAAATGCCATCTCTTAATGTTGAGAGTTGATAGTTTGACATCAAACATTTAGTGAATTAATTTGTTGTTAATGCACTTCTTTGCAAGTTAAGACAAAATTCACAGGTTTGTTATGGATATAGTCTGTTAGGGTCTAGGAGGGTAAGCTAGTTAAGTAGAATACAATTACGTTCTTCAAGTGTCCCTGAAGAAACTACTGTGTCCTACTTCATCGTTTTAAGGAGCTTAATTCTTTAATATCTTAGACATTTTGAAACATCAAGGAAAGATGTTAGGTGAGCAAAAATATAAAACCTAAAAATATTGTGGGGTTAATCTTGTAAGTGTGATCTTTATAGCGTTGTTACAAATACATAAGGGGGTGGTCGAGAAAAGAGTATTTTTAAACCTACTTGGTAGTACCAAAAAAGGCAGCAACTTTGAGCAACACTATCTCTAATGTGAATTTCTAAAACTTAAGCCCCCAACACACAACAGTGAGACCCTAAGACGCTTCCAATTAAAATTAAGCTGGGTGATAAATGAAGTAGTCTGAATTGAGTGATCACTAAGGTTCTTTTCAGTTCTAATATTTTATGACAATAGTGAAATTTGAGACTTGGCCATTTCTGGGGAATTACATTAAGTCAGCACAGAAAATTTTAAAAGGGTAAAACAACATCTTTCAGTGGTAAAAACAGTATCAAAATCAGTTCTGTCCCACTCTGTCTCCAAACTCTGGGTGACTTCACTCTTAACAATTTATGGTTGTAAAGTTTCATTTATTTTTCTTCATCTGCTGTATATGATCTCCAGCCAGGCGTTTTCTGACCATGGAATCGTGGCAACGTTGGGAGCAGCTTGGCTTCCTGCAAATTAGCTGGAAGGGTGTAACCCAAGACGTCAATCCAACCCACAAATAGCAGAGTGAAATGTTAGGCTTTGGTGCTTCAGAGATGCTGAGTGCAAGATGCATTTCTTCCAGTTTTGTTGGCAAAATAGCATTCACAAAACAAGTGCTTGTATGTGCAATCCATCAGAAGTTCAATCAACAAATATTTGCCTACTGACTATGCACTGGAAAATTCAAGAAGCAGAAGGTTCAGTAGTGAACCACACAGACGGAAGACCCTGCTCACATGGAGCTTTCATGAACTTGGTGTGGGTTGCAGAGTGGAAATAAAATCAATAAATGAAACAAGTGGAAATTATCAGCTGGTAATTTCCATAATGGACACAATACAGTATAGGCTGATGGCGGGGACTGAAGGGCTGTAACAGTTTGGAGAGGCTAGGTATGCTATCATAACAATCTCAAAAGTCTCAGCAACTTAAAACAGTAGAGATTCCTTTCTTGCTCCCACTCTCCCATTGGTTGGTGGGGAGCTGTGCTCTGGATCATTGTCATCCTCTCTCGAGGGCTCAGGCTGATGGAGTAACCATTATCTGAGACACTGCTGATTATTACTGTGGTAGAAGGAAAAAGGGTGAAACACACAGTGGGATCTGAAAGCTTCTACCCATACTTAATTCGCCAAAGCAAGTCAAATGGCCACGTCTCCAGTCCAGGGAGCAAAGAAGTGCATGCAGTCTTACTTTGTGCCCAGAAGGAGAGAGAGAGGATATTTGTGAGCAGCCATCATTACTACTACAGCCGAGTCAGCAAAGACCTCTGAGAGGGTAAGTTCTGACTGATGTGTAGCCAGTTGTGCTAAAATCAGGACAAGCATGATTTTTAGCTGTGAAAAGATCCTGAAGAGGGAACAAGCTTGGCATGTTGGAGTAACAGGGAGGAGACCAGTTAGCTGGAGAGTGAGGAGACAGAGGTAGAAGAGGTAGAAGAAGAGGGCTGAGAAGTGCAGTTCCCTCTTTAATTGGTCGTCTTTCTCTTTTGTTCCCTTATATTTTATTTCCCACAAGGAAGCTAAACTGATCTCATTAAGATAAAAGTTAGTTTATGTTTACAAGTTAGTTTAGAATAAAGTACCTGCTGCTTACCCTTGCCCTCAAGGTCTGCAGGAACTGACCCCTGAACAATGCATTATAAGTGGACACAGTGGAGGTAGCATGGGCAGTTGGGAGATCATTATAGTCAACTAGGGAAGAAATCATGTTGGCTTGCCCTAGGGTGGTCATAGTGGAGATGGAGAGGAACTGTTTGGGGAGGAAGAATCAATAGGTCTTGCTAAAAGGTTGGAAGAAGTAGGAAGTAAAAGAATGAAAAGGACATTGACATTTTTGGCTGAGCAGTGGGTGAATCATGTTCTGAGAAGGAATACCAAGGGGAATTAGTTGGTAAACCAAAGGTTTCTATTGGGCCATGTTAACTTAGAGCAGACTATTAGACAACCAAGTGGAGGTGTCAGGTAAACAAATGTCAGAATCGAGCTCAGAGAAGACGTCCTCTCTTAGAGCTGGAGATATTAATTTAGGGGTAGTATTAATGTTCATTTAGCTGTTGGCACTCTGATTCATTTCCTGCTCTTTCCTGCTCTACTCTGTATGGCTTGAAGATGAATGGATACCAGGAGAGTGGGGTATGCCAGGTTGACCCATGCAAATAACATTTCCCAAGTTTCCTTGCCAACTGGCCTCTGGGAAAGTTTGGTCAATAGAAGAGACTGGCAAAAGACTGCAGTACTTTTGCCAGGAGAGGAAAAGCCAGAGTACTTTTCCCTCTCTCTGCTATGGGCAACATCTCTCACATGAATTCACCTCCTCTGTGGTTAAATTCCCACCAGGTAAGCCCTCCTCCATGGCCCTAACTCCTGCTATTCCTAAACTCTCAAAACTCCACTTTCCCCTTGGTTTCTCTACCCCTAGGGAGGCATCAACTTCCTAATGCTGGTATTCTCTGGGTTATCTCTCTCTCTCCAGTTTGCCCTTAAAATTTTTTTTTAACATTTTTGCACCGACTGGCATTAAATTCTATTGCGCTACCAGGTGTGGGTTCTGTTTTCCTTCCTGGACCCCTGGTGATGACGCAGGAGTGAACAGCATGTAGATGGTATTAAAAGCCATGGGACTAGATGAGATTATTTGCAAAGGTTAAGTACAGTAGCACCCCCTTATCCAAAGGCAATACATTTCAAGACTCCCAGTGGATAGCTAAAACCATGGAGATACCTAGCCCTATACTATGTGAAGTTGCTCATTCAAATTGGGTCATTTTTTTCATATCGAACCAATTCAGAGTCAAGGGGGCCAGAGAGAAAAAGACGGTATGGCAAATGGCATTGCTTCAAGAATGTAATTCTCTGCAAGACTGGTTGCTGAGACTGCCTGATGTAACCTGAAACTAGTTTTATCAACAGCTACTGAAACAAGCTGCTATGTCTCTAAGACTAGTTTTACCCAAAACATTCCCTCACCAATCAGAGCTTGCCAGCTCCCCAAAACCTTACTGCGAATGAACTTTCTTGAAAAGCAGTAGGTAATATTTCGCCTTTTAATAAAACCTTCAGCTTTCTCTTGTTCTTTGGACATATTGAAGACCACCCAGTTGAGGTGCATTCTTTGAATTTCAATTCTTGCTTCTCATATAAACCATTTTATTTTATTAGTTATTTGAGATGAAGTCTCACCCTGTCACCCAGGCTGGAGTGCCATGATGATGAGATCTCAGCTCACTGCAACCTCTGCCTCCTGGGTTCAAGAGATTCTTCTGCCTCAGCCTCTCAAGTTGCATTACAGGCATGCAACACCACGCCTGGCTAATTTTTCTATTTTTAGTAAAGACAAGGTTTCACCATGCTGCCCAGGCTGGTCTGAAACTTCTGACCTCAAGTGATTCACCTGCCTCGGCCTCCAAAGTGCTGGGATTACATGTGTCAGCCACCTACCCCAGACTAAAATATTTTAAATTTAGAGATTCATGTCTGTATTTTAAATTTGACTTTGACAACTGTATAAACTAGGTTTTTTTCCTACACTTACATACCTATGATAAAGTTTAATTTATAAATTAGGCACAGTAAGATATGAGCAACAACAATAATAAAACAGAACAATTATAACAATATTCTGCTCAAAATTTCTCAGAGAGAAGATTCATTTTGACCTTAGATCTTAGCAACCTCAGTATACAATCTTTTTCTTTCCTTATAAATTTGACAACTTTCACCTTTTCACTGAAAGGAAGCACTTTATGGCTTCTTTTTGGCATATCTAAATCACCAGCATCACTACTCTTGCACTTTAGGGCCATTAAGCAAAATAAGAGTTACTTGAGCACAAGCACTGCAATACTGTGACTGTTGATCTGGTAGCCAAGATGGCTACTCAGTGTCTAAGCAGTGGAGGGTCTACAACATGGGGACATGGGACAAAGGGAAGCTTTATGTCCCAGGTGGGAGACAGCAAAATAACAGGAGATTTTAACACATTACTCAGAACTACACAAAATTAAAACCTTATGAATAGTTTATTTTCGGTATTTTCCATTTATTTTTTATTTTATTTTATTTTATTTTTTTGAGACAGAGTCTTGCTCGTCACCCAGGCTGGAGTGCAGTAGCAGGATCTCAGCTCGCTGCAAACTCTGCCCTCAGGGTTCAAGCAATTCTCCTGTCTCAGACTCCTGAGTAGCCTGGATTACAGGTGGCTGCCACCACGCCTGGCTAATTTTTGTAATTGTAGTAAACATGGGGTTTCACCATGTTGGTCAGCTGGTCTCAAACTCCTGACCTCAGGTGATCCACCTGCTGTGGCCTCCCAAAGCGCTGGGATTACAGATGTAAGCCACCACGCCTGGCCCATTTAATATTTTTGGACAGCAGTTGGCCTCAGGTAACTGAAACTGTGGAAAGTGGAATTGCAGGTCCAGAAACTACTGAAAATAAAGAAGGATGGTCCTGGGCCTGCCTTCTAGCAGTCTATCTTTTTAGGTGAACCAGTACCTGATTCACTGTTTAGCACTGGTTTGCCATGTTGGCAGATGCTTAGCAGAGAATACAATCTTTCATTGCAAAGGAGGAAAATTCCCATAATGCACCACTGACACATTTTGGAGAAAATTAATAGGTAGGTAAAGTATCCTCTTCTACCTGGTCATTAATAACATAAAATCTGAACTGTTTTTAAAATAGAATATAGTAGTTGGGTGGAGGAGTAAGAACTATTTGATTTCAGGAAGTATCTCTGTTATCTTGTTCACAATGGGAACATAACAGCAAATAAAGAGTGAGTCATTCTCCCACTTGTAGCTTTGTCCCAAGGTCATCCAAAGCATGATTTTTGCCAACCTTAATTACTTTCTACTTCAGTAAACACCAGAATATGCTTGAATTCCTCTGTCGACATCAATTGCAGGGAAAAGCGGTAAAGGGGGTAAAACTGTAGACAACATGGCTCTACGTCAGATCCAGGACCTAGAGATCATGACGTTTCCTTTTCTGATAACCCCACATCCTAGTCCTTTATGCTTTTAGTATCTGTTATCTGTTCTTTAATTTTCTATTTTTCCACTTAGCTCAATTTTTTTCATGTGTAAAATAATGATAATAATATCCATTACATTGGCTTGTGGAATTCAATGAGGTAAGAGAAGTGATGAACATAGCACTATATCCAGCCTCTGGGAGATCCTCAGTACTCACACCTGGAATCCTAGCACTTTGGGAGGCCGAGGTGGGAAGATTGCTTGAGCCCAGTAGTTGAGACTAGCCTGGCAACATAGTGAGACCCCATTTCTCCAAAAAACTTTTTAAAGAAAATTAGTTGGGCATGGTGTCATGAGCCTATAGTTCCAGCTACTTGGGAGGTTGAGGTGGGAGGATCACTGGAGCCCAAGAGCTGGAGGCTGCAGTGAACCATGATGGCACCACTGCACTCCAGCCTGGGCAACAGAGTGAGATTCTGTCTTACAAAAAAAAAAAGATAGTTAATTCATTCTCCTACCCAAATGCTTTCTGAGCACTTTGCCAGGCACAATTCCAGTCCCTGGGTAGAGACAGACAATAATGAATAAGTTATATAGTCATGTGCTATATAACATTGTTTGTGTCAATGATGGGACTGCTTGTAAGATTATATTACCATATTTTTACTATGCTCTTTCTAAGTTTATGTACGTTTAGATACATTAATACTTAATGTTGTGTTACAATTGCCTGCAGTATTCAGTATGGTAACATCCTGTACACGTCTGTAGCCCAGGAGTCACAGGCTATACCAAATAGCCTAGGCATATCACGGGCGATGCCATCTAGGTTTATTTAAGTTCACTCTATTCCATTCATACAACAACAGAATTGCCTAATGATGCCTTTCTCAGAGCATATCCTCATTATTAAGCAATGCATGAGTGACTGTGTGTCAGTGAAAAGGTGACATTTGAGCAGAGTTGAAGTTGGTGAGGGATTGAGCCATTGTGCATGGGGGAGGGGAACCAGGGCCTTAGGGGATCTGGGAAGGATTGCAGGCAAAAGGAACAGTGCGTGCCATGGCCTAGAGTGTAGCCAAGGAACTGGTGAGCTGGAGAGTAGAGTGGTGGGTAGTCAGGGCCGTATCCATGGGCCAGACTGCATCTGTACGGCCCTGTAGTCACTGTGATGACTTTGGGGAGCAGGATTTTGAACCATGATGTGACATGATCTGATCTATGGTTAAAATTGGGTCTCAAACCTCAGCAGGCATCAGAATCATCAGGAAGTTGTGTTAAAATACAGATTTCTGGGCGGGGCGCGGTGGCTTATACCTGTAGTCCCAGCACTTTGGGAAGCCGAGGTGAGCAGATCACGAGGTCAAGTGATCGAGACCATCCTGGCCAACATGGTGAAAACCCGTCTCTACTAAAATACAAAAATTAGCTGGGCATGGTGGCGCATGCCTGTAGTTCCAGCTACATGGGAGGCTGAGGTAGGAGAATTGCTTGAAGCTAGGAGGCAGAGGTTGCAGTGAGCCAAGACCATGCCACTGCACTCCAGCCTGGCACCTGGCAACAGCGCAAGACTCTGTCCCCCCCCCCAAAAAAAAAATACAGATTTCTGGGCTCCAGCCCTGGAGTTTCTGATTGTGAGAAACTCGTGGGTGCAATCTGAGAATGCACATTTCCAACAAGTTTCTCAGGTGCAGCAGCTGCTGCTTGTGCAGGGACTTCTTTTTGAAAAGCAGTGTGTCAAAGGGATTGCTATGATTTTGTGTGGATTACCATGTTGACAATAGGCTGATTGGAGGTGGCAAAGATGGGTAAAAACACAACAGGAAGACTAGTGAAGCTATTGTGGAACTCAAGGAGAGAGACAATCACGGCGAAGTGATCAGATTTTAGAGAGCCAGGGTAGCCTCAAAGTCAGTAAACGCATGTGAATACATAATAAATGGTCTGTTGCTGTTACATTACAATATCTGATAACATAATATAATCTGTGTTTTCAGACTTTATGGCCACCCTAGTTTTTGAAGATCTTACCAACCAGATTTGCTAACAAATCCTGGGTGACCCTCTCTTCTTCTCCCAGATGGCCATACACTCCATAATCCTTTCCTCTTTTCAGGATATCAGGAATTACTGTCATTATCCATTCTCTCAATCAGCCTCACTTCTTTTTCTTCACTCCTTTAGCCTTTAATATTATACCTTGTCTGGCTTTATGTTGATATATATAGAGAGAGCGAGATAGCTATAGCTATAGCTATAGAGATAGATATCTGCTTTTGCCTTCAGTTCTAATTGTACTGAGGACCTAGATTATGTTTGATTCACTTTGCCATCCCCACCCCTTTCTCTCCTCACCCCCACTACCACTAACCCTTCTTAGTAATAGCCCAGTTCCAAACACTGCATGCATCATCAAATCTTCTCCACTTCTCTGTGAAATTTGGTGGGATCCCATATATTTGGGACATTCAGCCAAGCAAAACAAAACAAACAAATGACTTATGTCCTGTGAAAAGTCTAAAGAGAATTGAAGTAAGTAGGTGTCCACAGATACTCATTAAAACTTGGGCTTGTACTTCACCTCCTGAAGTCAGAGAAAGTGCTCTAATGAATTTACAGTTTTCTTCCAGATACATTTTAGCATTTTGCAGATAAATATTTAGCATGTAAACAGGGAGCTGATTCGTGTTTTTTCCCTTTGTTCTTTCAGTATTTCCGCCCTTGTGCCACATAATCACCACGCTGGATCCAGGCTGTCCCCGAGATCAAAAACTACCCTTTTTATGGCCCGTTCTCCCATTTATGTGAGGGAGGCTGGGCTGTAAACACGGTATGAAAAAAATTCTTATATGCCATCTTGATTGCTAACATCTGTTCAAATTTCCATTCATAAATTTAAAATTCAGGCTTCTGTAGCCATCTGTTTTCTCACAACAATCTGAAAAGAAGAAAAGCCCAAGGCAGATGTGAGGGTGGGAGAAGAGCTTCTGCCCAGCTCAGATAACTTTTGAGAGTTTTTATTTGTTTTTTCTCTCCTCCCTAGAAGGGTAGGCGTGACTTTTCTCCCTTCAGGGTGGGATTTCAGTCCCTGTGACTCAGTTTCCTGTTATATAGTGGAATTACAAAATGGCTTTTATCATCGCTCTCCTTCCCAATTTCCCCCTTTTTCTTCCCTGACCCTGTCTTTCTGTTGGTCGCTCTCACACATGTATGCACATATGTGTGTGCATGTACACTCATGAAAATGCCCATCTATGAACTAGAACTGAAATCTTTCTGCTGACTTTCTTAAAGTTGCCCGACAATCTCAGCGGACCTGCTGAGCTGGAACCCACTGCTTGCCTGGATCATAAGCAATTTTCTGACTTGCTGGGCCTCTCATTGGGAATTTCTCCACGGATTACTTTGGCATGGCTAATGGATATGATTTGGCAGCTGCAGGATCCAGATGCCAAGCCAGGCAATGGCCCTTTTTTATTTTGCTCTTGGCAGTGTCATCTATGTCTAAGGGACTGGGCTTCTTCTAAAGCCACCTGGCTTTGTTCCAGCAGTGCTGTTGCAGCAACTGTGAAATGCTTTCGAAAGCTGACATGACATTTTGGGGGCCTGCTGGGCTACAGTACTCTCCTAAATGTGACCTAGCTTGGGATTTGCTTTTAGCATCAAATACTTTTGTTTTTCCCCCAGTTTACGCTGAGAAACAAGTTCTCAGCAAACTACATGCAAAGTCTATTTTCCATCCTAATGTCCACTCTGAAAACCTCAGGACTATGGATCAAAGTTCCACCCATCCCGAACTTTAGTAACAGTTCTGTATGCAAGCTGGTGGTTTGTGGGATCATCTTGCTGGGTTATGCATGCTCATTTTCACTTTACTCTGACATTGCATTTATATATAACTCATGACTGATGTCCTAGGCCTCGCTGTGTGACAAGTCATTTAACCATTCTGAGCCTGACTTCTTTAAATGTCAGTGGAATAGAAGATATCGATACCTTACCTCCCCTTGCTTGCTAGTGGATGGATCATTGGGGTGTGAGGAAGGGCTTGGCAGGTACTGATGATATGGAAATACTTGATTTATAAATTACTCATACTACTGAACAGATTTATCCCCACATCAGAGCTGCCCCAACCATTGATTTCATCAGGGCCTCCCATACTGTCACTGAAGCCTCGTTCAGGCTCTACCTCTCCTCTCTGCTCTCTGTATCTTTCTCCTGTCCTCTTCCCCTACTCCCTAAACACTCTTCAGGGCTCAAGATTGAGGAGTACTCAGAGACAAGGTAACTGGAGTAGAGATGACAATATCTGGTTTTTGGTCTTCTTTTCCCATTTCTTCAGACATCATTAATTGATTCTAGTATGCTCTCTTGCTAAGGCCAACCTCAGAATTCTTCTCCAGACAGAGATCCATGCAGCCACAAGTAATCAACTGGAATTGGGTTGGGAGATTAAACCTTATCCACCATCTTCTGCCTAGAGGGACACTGGTCTTGGGGCCACAGCAGTGCCGAATCAGCCATGGTGTGAGTTAAATAGGTTTGGTCTACTTAATAGGTTGGCGTAGGAACCAAACCTAATCTGTAGTACTGTTTTGGGGGGAAACACATTTAGAATTTGAAACATTAGCTTACAAGGGAGCTTTTGGAGAGCCACTGGTACATAAATTGGAGTTCATCTATACTTGGTTATAGGAGGATGAGAGTGACACATGGGTAGAGGCTGAGAGCACAGACTGCTTGGCTCTAATCTTCTAAACTCTATGACACTTATATAGCATTTACTGTGTGCCAGGCACCATTATAAATGTTTTTTATTTAAAAATGTACTTTTTCCAGGCCGAGTGTCTCATGCCTATAATCCTAGCACTTTGGGAGATTAAGGTGGGCAGATCACTTGAGGTCAGGAGTTTGAGACCAGCTGGCCAGCATGGTGAAAACCTGTCTCCAATAAGAATACAAAAATTAGCCAAGTGTGGTGGTGGACACCTGTAATCCCAGCTACTAGGGAGGCTGAGGTGTGAGAATCACTTGAACCCAGGAGGCAGAGGTTGCAGTGAGCCAAGATCGCACCACTGCACTACAGCCTGGGGGATCGAGCAAGACCCTGTCTCAAAAAAAAAAAAAAAAAATTATTTTTTAACAAATATCAACTCATTTTTTTCTACATAATCTTCATATCTTAAATGTTCCCTTTGTGTCTCAGTTGAGGACAGGAGTTTTCTTCTGCAGGTTGTGAAAGTCCACAAATTGATCTTGAAGATTTGAAGAGTCAACTTAATCAATAATTAAAACTAACAAAGAGAAACTTAGCTCAGAAAAAAAAATCAAGGTAACCTTAGAAGAAGAAGGGGTGGGGGAGACAAAGGAGGAGGAGGAAGAAAAGAGGAAAAAGAGAAAACGTGACGTACATACTCACTGAAGTGTTTAGCCTCTGAGTCTTTTGAAAACTGTAATTCAAGACACTTGTCTGGATTACCTGCATGGGATATAAATAGATTGAATTCAATCAATGTTATTAAGGGTATTCTATGTGATAAATACTGTGCTAAAAAATATACTCAACTTATTTGCGCTTAGTGAATGAGACAATTTCTGGTATTATAAAATGTACTATCTAGTGAGGCTGGGCATGGTGACTCATGCCTGTAATCCCAGCACTTTGGGAGGCTAAGGCAGGAGGATTGCTTGGACCCAGAAGTTCAAGACCAGCCTGGAAAACATAATGCGACCTCGTTGTTACAAAAAATTTTAAAAAGCCAGCTGTGATGGTGGTGCATGCCTGTAGTCCCAGCTACTCCTGGGAGCTGAGATGGGAGGATGGTTTGAGCCCAGGAAGCAGAGGCTGCAATGAGACATGATTGTACCACTGTACTCTAGTCTGGGCAAGAGCAAGACCCCGTCTAAAAAAAGAAAAAAAATACTATCTGGTGAATAATAGTCAAATGTGACAGACTGATAAATATCTTCCTGTTTATCTCATCTTTCTTCCTATTAGTAATAAAATATCTAAAAGTCTTAGCTGTGTATATGGCTGCCAAGCTAGAAATGACTTTTCCAAGTATCCTTTGTGACTAGGTTTGGCTATGAAATTATGTTTTGGCTGACCAGGTGTAAGCAGAAGGAATACATGCAATTCCCAGGTCATATTATTTAAAGAATCTCCCTGCTCCCACTTCTTCTGTCCCCATACCATATATTGGAATGTGGGGATATGGTGCTGGGGTCCATCTTCTACCACATATTAAGAACCACACTCTAGCAGCCTTTCTCAACTAGGGTTCCTGTAAGAGAATTAAACCTTCCAGAAAATGATTTAAGTAATTCTCATCTATTCTATTCCAAGGATGGAATTTGTCATTATAATGGAGGCCTTAAAGCATTAAAGCTTAATTCTCTCTAGAATATTCCACTGGAAAAGGCTTATTGAGGATATAAGAAGAAGAAGATGGTAGGAAAGTGGAATTGTGGAGCAATGTGGGACTCAAGAGGCTTGAGATTCAAAGAGCTGTGAGATGTTTGGCAGGTTGGGTTCAATCTGAAAAGATAAATAAGAGCACTCTGGTTATTGTCTTTGGCACAGTTTTTTGGCTAAGAGAGGCTGTTTGGACAGAACAGAAGCGGCAGACCCAGGGAGAACAAATTGTCAAGCAACGCCAGGGGCGCTTCTCCCACATGTTTTCTGCCCAGTGTTGTCCCTGACCCTTCTGAGTTAAGCGCCCCTCTTACCCACAAACCAAAAATTCAGACTGCCATGGAATCAAGTGTATGTGGAAAAGAACTTCCAGATCAAATACATATTAGCAAATGGCTGGCCTTTCTTATGGGAGATACATCTTTCCCCCAAAAACAAATAGCTGTAGTTGCCAGAAGAGTGGGTGTTAATAGACATCTTGGAGAAATGCTATATTTGGGTCCTATTGGGTTTTTGTTTCTCTCCAATATGGTAACTTTGCAGCACCACAATCCAACCATTTTCTCCCTTCCATAGTTCTTACTAGTAGAAACAGAACACACTAGATGTAGCTAGCAGTCAGAGGGTTTTAATTAGCACTGGCGCCCAAAGTACAAAGCCCCAACACCACATAGAATTCTTATAATCCCTTATAAGGTGGGGAGGTATCAAAATAGGTTTTAGGGATAAGAAAAGTGATAGCTAGAAAATTTTAAATAACTTGGAGAAAAGCACAGAGCTATTAAGTGAATAGTCTGTGTGACTCCACAGCTAATACTCTTTCTATTGCGCCATGCAGTCTCCAAGTACTGAATAAAAATGGTCTCTATGGTAGATAAAATTCTTGGCCCCAAGTTTTCACCATTCCCTCTATCCACACTCTTAACAAGTGAGTTTATATTTTGTCCCACTAAAGGCATAATGGACTTCCCTGCCTATTGACCCTGGACTCAGCTGCATGACTTGCTGTATCCAGTGAATGTGGGCAGAAGTTATATGCATCTACTCTAAGCCTGGGACTTAAGGGGAACCACAATTTCTGCTGCCCTCTGGGGCTTCTGCCATTGCCATGAGAAGAGCATGCCCTGGAGACTCACTTGCTCAAAAAGGATGAGAATGCCCCTTAGGTATCTGCTTCCCCTTTAGCTTGGGCCCCAGAATGAACATGCATGGAGAAGAGCCAAGCCCAACCTACAGGAAGGAAATAAGACCAGACAGATATGCAGACTGAAGCAGAGCAGCCCAACCAAGTCCAGTCTAGATCAATCCAAGTCAACATGCAGACGTGTAAGCAAGAATAAATAAGTATTGTTTTAAGACCCTGGGTTTTGTAGCTGGTTGAGATCATCTCTGAAAAGTGTTTGCCACTGTGGAAATATATTGCACTGTCCTGAAATTAGAGGAGAGATACTACTATTCTATTTATAATTCTTGAGTGGCTCCCTGACTCCTTTGTGATAGTCTGTACCCTAATTGATCTCTTAACTTTCTTGGAGCTGATCCTTGCCTGACTGTCCATCTCCTCCTCTACATATCCATTACTTGAAGCCCCACATGGGTCCTGCTGTTTTACACCCCCAGGTCTTTGTGTACTCAGTTCTGTCTTCCTAGAATGTCTTGTCACCTTCTCTAATTAATTCTAATCATTCCTCAAGATGAAGTTGAAACATCCCCTCCTCCAGGAAACTCTCTGTCCTCCATTGTGACTTGGATTCCCCACTTAGATGTGCTTGCCTATAGACTAGCCCTTATCACACCCTATAAAAACCAAATACTTGAAATTCTGGATTTATTTCAAAGGTACAGCCAGCATTATTGGTTGATGACTTAGATGTAGGTGTGAGAGAAAGAAAGGAGTCCAAATGTTACCATAGTTTTTGGCCTGGGCATCTAGAAGGTTGGAGTTGCCAACAGATATGAAGGAGACTGCAGGTGAGACACATTTGGACATAAGTTGGAAGACATGTCTATTAGATACCTGTTTTAATTTGTTTAGTGTTACTATCACAGAATACCTGAGGCTGGGTCACTTATGAGGAGGTTTACTTGGCTCATAATTCTAGCATTTGAAAGAGTCAAGATTGGGCAGCTGCATCTGGTGAGGGCCTTTGGCTCTTCCAACTCAGGGCAGAAAGCATAAGGGGAGCAGGTGTTGCAAAGAGATCAGATGGTGAGAGAGGAAGCAAGACCACTGAACTGAAGAAGACACCCCCTTTTTTTTTTAAATCAACTGCTCTCTCAGGAATTAATCCATTCCTAAGAGCAAGAACTCACCCCAGAGGGCAGGCAACAATCTATTCATGGGAAATTGCCCCCCTGACCCAAACACCTCTCACTAGTCCCCACCTCCCAACACTGCCATGTTGGGGACCATATTTCAACATCAGTTTCAGAGGAGACAAACTATATTCAAACCATAGCAATATCCAAGTTGACAAGTGAAGTCAGCAGTTGGATATACAAGCTGAGAGACAGGATAGAGAAGAGTACATTAACTCTTTCAAGGTATTAATACACTGTAAATGCTCTGTGAATACCTTCCAAGCCCTACAAATCTGGTGATTATTTTCCTCATTTTAAAATGCAAACTAGGTACTTCCCAAATGCCCATCAACAGTAGAATGGATGAATAAATGGTAGTATATGTGTACAACTTAGTAATGCTGTATAGCAACAAGAATGAATGAACCACAGGTATGCACAATAATGGAAAATTCCTAATGCCTAGTGACATTGCACAACCCGTCCCAGGGAGATATCAAAGCTCTATCCATAGAGCCCTGGCTGGAGTGACTGAAGCCACTGCAGGGAGGACCAACCCATGAGGAGGAATGGATTGAGGTCCCACTGAAGAAGCAGTCTGGCTGCAATATGGCAAGGCAGCTGTGCTGCATTGTGGGGGACCCTTCCTCTTGTGGACCATCAGTGTTATCCACAGCTGGCAGGCTGGAACAGCTGAGTCTACTGAACTGTGGAGACGGTTGGCTTCCCCTCCCTCAAGGAGTTCCAACCCAGGGAGAGATCAGAGCTCTGTTCATAGAACCCCTGCTGGAGTGGCTTAAGGAGGTCCTGCCCAGTGAGGAGGAATGAATTGTTGTCTTGGCTCCCTGGATTCAGCCTCCTTCCTAGAGATGGATTTCCTGCCTTGCTGGAAATCCTGGGGTCAAAGTATATAAAACTTCTGTGTCTCTTTCTATGTGCTTGAGTGGCTGCTCTGCTAATAAAACACACAGCTCTGTGTATTAAACTCAAGGCCCAGGTGGTGTGGACTCAGGAGGGGATCTCCTGATCCGCAGGTTGCAAAGATTCATGGGAGAAGCATGGTTCCTGGTTGCATATCACTCATCACTTCCCTTGGCTGGGGTGGAGTTTCCTTTGGCTCTGTGCTGCTTTCAGGTAGGCTTCCCAGCCCCGTCCAACTTTTTTTCATTCTCCAGAGGCTGGTGGTTTACCTAGTCAATCCTAATGCAAGAATCTGGATACTTCAGTTGAAGGTACTGAATTCACTTGCCCCTTTTAATTCCTCTCCGTGAGTGCTGTGGGCAGGGGCTTCTAATTGACCATCTTGGAATTGATCTCCCTGCAGTGAAGTGTTTTAAGCAGAAAGAACACATGATATTGGAAAATCAGCATAGCATGGTGGTTCAGAAATAGATTCTGGAGCCAGGCAGCTTGCTTGGTTTAGAATTCTGGCCCTGCAACTTACTAGTAGCCTCTCTGTGCCTTAGTTTCCTCACAGTTTAAATAGGGATAAAATAATATCTACTTTATAGGTCTATTTGCAAGATTTTAAAATTCTTGGAATAGTACCTGGCTCATTATACATGCTATAAAGTGCTTATTCAGTTAAATAAATAAAAACGTCTTTGGTAAGATAACTGAACATTGTATGGTCTAGTAGAGGATGCTGACAATAACAAATAATTAAAACATATCATGAAGTAAGCATAAAAGTGGTAATGCAAAGATGAGAATGAGCTCTGCTTCCAGTGATTAGTGTGAGCAGACACGTCACTGGACTTAGAAGTTTAAAGCCTAGTGTGGGAAGCTGACACGAATGGTAAAAAGCAGCCAGAGTGTTTCTGTAAGCAGGACCCCAATTCATTCCTCCTCACTGGGCAGGACCTCCTTAAACCACTCCAGCAAAGGTTCTATGAACAGAGCTCTGATCTCTCCCTGGGATGGAGCTCCTGGAGGGAGGGGAAGCCACCATCTTCACAGTTCAGTAGACTCAGCTGTTTCTGCCTGCAGCTGTGGATAATACAGATAGTTCACACAAGGAAGGGTCGCCCACAATGCAGCACAGCTGCATTGCCAATGGTAAAAAATGTTAGAGTAGAGGTATAAATAAGAGTGATTAATTTCAACTTGAAAGCAAATGAGGTGGTTTCACAGAGAAGAGCCCAGCATATTGGTTGATTGCTTGGGCTCCAGAATCAGGTCAGCTGAGTTTAGAATGCTGACTTTGTACCTCATTGGTTTGTGATTTGACCTCTCTAATCCTCCATCTCCTTATCTGTAAAATGGGGAAAAATAATAATGATAATGATATGTAGCTCATTGGACTGATAAGAATTCACAGTTAATGCATCTAAAGCCTTAGCACAAGGCACTCAATAAATGTGAAGCTATTATTATTATTACGAGTTGAAACTTGAGTGGGAAAGAACTTTGTTGGCATTAAACATGAGAAAAGGCCCAGAAGTTGAAAAGCATCTGACATAATTAAAGAACAGGAAGTTAGTGCCACTTAAACTACAGTCACCACTGCCAGTCAGTGAACAGTTTTTTACTGGTCCATGAACAGGTAAGTATAGAAACTGTAAGCATTTAGAAATTAAAAACAACCACCAAAAATTGAAAAACTAATTTTATACTTTTGGCCTACTTGTACACTTGTAATAAAACTTGGGCTTGTAGTTTTTGTCTTTTTTCTCATTTGCGAGCAGGTTTTGAATTGTATTTTACAGAAATAATGGTCCATGTCAGATTGGAAATAATGTCTTTTTCCCTTGAAAGTTTGAGAAAAAAAGTAATTCAGTGGGGCTGGATATGGCATCCGAAAGATGATTCTGGAAAGGTGGGCCAGGGCCATGTTTATGAGGACCCTCCAATGCCTCACAGAGTTCACACTTTATTCTGCGGGCAACAGGGCTAGTAAGATTTAGAGGGATTGTTAACTGAAGGTGAGTGAACTTTGCACATTGTATGTGTGTGTGTGTTTTCCCAGTGAACATGTGCTTTTTCTTTCTTTTTTTAAATTAAAAGTTCTGTTCTGTTTTTTTAGTTAAGAGGAGAGACCGGAACTGCTCAGTGTTTCACAAAGATAACTTTGTATTTGATAAGAATTTCGTTAAACAAAGGAATTTGCACTTATAAAAACACAAAGCATTGAAAACCCTGAGCACATACCCTGTGACCAGAATGCGTGTAACTTGTTGAGATAAGCCACCCCTGGTCATCAGATGAGTCTCCTTTCTTCTTGGACACCCTCATCGAATTAAGGCACACACGACAGAGAAAAGACTCTGATCTCTCTCAGTTCGGGTCATCTCCTCTGCCTTCCATCACCACTGCCTGACAATCCTACAAATGGCAGGATGGGAAAACGGTTTAATAATCGCTTCCCTTCGGGAGGCGTTCGACAGTTCGGAAAGCATGGCCTTTACTCAGGCTCAGAGACGGACACAAACCTTCCACGTTGTCCTTTCAGCTGCGCAGCCCAGTGCTCCTCTACCTGCACGGGTACCCGCCGAGGAAGCGCAGGACCCTCTGCCAAGCCCTGTGCCTGCTCAGGCCTCCGCGGCCCGCCTCGCCGGCGGCTGCGCTTCTGAACAGCACGCGGCCCCGGTCTCCGCACCGCGTCTGCACCGGGGAGTCAGGCCTAGGGCTCGAGACCCGGGGCTACACTCCGTTTTCCAACAGCAACCACGGCCCAGAAGCTGAGGAGCCTTCCGGTCGATGCGTGCCCCGAGGTCGCCCTCGGAGGCCGAGTGAGACGCCCCGCGGCGTTCCGGAGGCGGCGCCCCACCCGGCGCGGGAATCCGGCCCTCGCCCCGCCTCTCGGCCCGCGGCCTGGCCGGCGAGCAGCGCTGCAGTCCCGAGGCGGCGCGGAGGGCCCCGCCGGGTCAGGGGTGTGGCCGCCGCCAACGTAAGACGAGGCCTCGAGCCCGGTCCTGGGCACCGCCTCCGTCAGAGCCGCCCCATCAGGTGCGTGTGCCGCCGACCTGGCAGTGCCCGCGGGCAGCTGGGCCCGGGCCCTGGAGCCTTCCCGCGGCGGGCCGAGGCTGGAGCCGGCCCGGGGAGGGAGCGGAGGGGAACGGACTGCCAACAACGCTCACGGGTGGGAGTGACGGGAGGACCTGGCAGGGGGGCGGCAGGGTGGCAGCCTGGGGCTGCCCCTTCGGTGACGCTGAAGGCGCCGAGCCTAGAAATGGGGCAGCTGTGAGTGACGTGGGGGTGGAGGAGGATGCGGCGGGACAGCAGCAAGCCCCCTCAGCAGTCCTTCCCAAGGCGGGTTCGCGTCCCCTCGAGCGCCAGGGTTCAGCTCTAAGCCGCCCCTTCGTCCCGCCTCTGCGAACATTCCTGGGCCCCCTGAGCCTCCAGTGTGCTCTATGCAGTTCTTTTGCGGTTCCTTTCCCGTTTTACTGTGCACTTTCGCTTTTGCTGCGTCTAGTTTCTGCTACTAGACTCTCCCAGAATCTAAGTTCCATGAGGGCAAAGTCCTGTCTGACTTAGGACTCAGAGCTACTCAATAAGTAATTGAATGAGCACCTATGCCATAGGACTGAGTGAATTAACAAGTGAGTGAATGAGGACATAGGAGATCAAGCTGAATGAACCAGCGCACGAGTGAAAATACAGATACGTGAAGTGGAAGCAGTGGAGACGCAGGCTTACAACTCCTATTTTCTGATAGCTTTCCAAAAAGTTGTGTACGTGTCGCACGTTTGCAAACGGAGCATTCTCATTGGGACCACTTAAAAAGAGTTCTGTTCTGTTTAAATAACCTCTGGAAATGTCCCCTGGTATTTCCATTTTTGGTGGACTTGGCTATATGTGTTTGCTTAAAACAAAATATGCCTAGAATTTTTTTTTTTTTTTTTTGCTTCTGTTTTGTTCACTTCCGCTTTGGACGTTAAAAGAATCGTTATCACTATAATATTTCATCTATTTCTTAAAGATGAGGATGACTGTAAAGGCAGAATCACCTGACCCCAATTTGTTTGTGAAACCAGACATTCCTTTTCAATTCAGAGTTGTTAAGAATCTTGTCTGTTTTCCTGAGACAGGTGCTGGCTGATTTGCAGGAGGCTAAAGAGAGGGCCCAGGGAGACATGATCTGTTTGTACACATAGGCTTAGCACATAGCTTTAATAGAGTTGGTCACTGCAGCAGTTCTTAGTTTCCAGGCCCAGGTTTCAGAAGAACTGGATGGACCTTGGATTTGCCATTTGAGCTCTTTAGGTTTTGATTTCTTAATCTCCGAAATGTGGCAGTTTAGCTAGGGACCTTTCCTGAGTTAAAACCTCTGGGATTCGTTTTTATCAGGGTTAGAAGATGAAATTACGGATGATTTCATGGAGTTCTGCTTACTTCACCTGCTCTGTTTGAGATTCTGTAGCATTTTGTCTCTGCTTTCTTCTCTGCTATTTACAGCTCATTCCCTTTCTTCTCCACATCTGCAATAAGAGAACCTGGGAGCTCAAGATAAGTATAATATACTCTAGGCTGGTGAGGAGAAAGGAGGATAAGATTTTCTTTTACATTGTCACAGGCTCTTGGTCCTGGGTCTGACTTGTTTCCAATGCATCCCAGTCTGACAATGCCATATATTCCCACGATACCTGGGGAACTGCATCATTATTTCTTTGCATGCATTTGAGATTAGTTATCATAGATCACATTTTGAAGCTGAATGGACCTTGGAGATTTTTTAAAGGCACTTCAAAAGTCATTATACATATTTAAATATTTTTGCATGCTACATTTAACAGACACAAAGCTCCAAATGTGTTAAGTAAAATGAAATTGTTACTTACTTTAGTTAATCAAGTTTATAAATAAGGAGAAGTGGAATAAATGTGTTGCTTGTTGAAAAGGGCCAACTTTCTCACACTCTTTTCCAAAGAGCCAGTTATGAGTTCATGTGTCATACAGGCACGGAATATTACAAAGTTGATATTTATGGGGCACTGACCATACACCAGGCACTGTTATATTTAATCTTTTTACTTATATTGCCCCATTTAGTTGTCACTGTATACCTAAGAGCTAGATACTATGGTAATTCCTATTCAACCTTCTTAACTAGAAACAGTACTTGGAAAATGGAAAAGTTAGGACTCAAAACTCAAGCAGATGGAAACAGTGTTTCTTGCAGAAACAAGAAAATCCTGCCAGGAAGACTGTGTGACTTTGAAGAATGTGGTTTCTGTGTGTGCTCAAGCATATATACAAACTCTGGGTTATTTGGGTAAATGAATTTAGAATGGGAGCACAGGGTGAAACGATTGAGACTGAATTATAGGGGAATTGATTGTTTTATCATTTTGAAAGTTATTGAATTCCATTGAGATTCTGGGAGACTCTGATACTTTGACCTAGGTACTCATGCATCTTAATTTTAAACATGTTCAGACTTACCAATTTAGGAAACATAAAATGAGTGACATTGAGAGCTGTCATCAGTAAATGACACTTAAGGGCTTTGAACCACGAGTGCCAAGCAGTGTTGTTTTTTGGACTAGCTTTGTTCTCTTGGTAAGGCACTGCCTCCCAACTTCCTTCTTTATAAAACTAACAACCCCTAGTGTAGACAAAGAACAACGCCTACATCTGTGTAATCTAGAGACAAGAATGCAAGATGGGTTTCCAGAATCCTTATAATTAATTGATGAGAGCAAAAGAGGAAAAGAGAGGCCCATAAAATAAGTGGGAAATTATTTTGTTTCTTTTTTGTCAGCCAAGTTTCACCCCATGGAAAGCAGAGACCAGTTGTGGCCGCTGAAAAACCAAGAGCTGATGCCAGTTTGATTTAGCTCAGGAGGCTGAAACTTTCTGCCCTGAAGGCTGGTGTGATGGAATAGACCTTCCCATTGCTCACAATATTATGGAAAAAAAAAAACCAAAAAAAAAAACCATTAAAGCAACAATTTTTATTACTTGGCCTGAAGCTAGAGCTTTAAAATGTACTTTCTTCTCCCCCTACCCTCCCTAAACCACTTAGCTTTTAAAAACAAACAACCCATTCATGTGTTTGTTACAGTCACATTATTAGTTCTCTTTATTCCTGGGCCCGTTTCTTTAATGCAGCAAGGTATTTGGAGGAGTGTACTTCCGGATCTGTGGAATTTTCCTTTAGTTGTTATTTTATTCAGAAAATATTAAATTCAGTAACCATTTATTGAGGGTGTACTATGTGCCAGATAAAGATGAATGAGAACAAATTTAAATATGAGAGTGACCCAAACAATTGCACCACAGGGTAATGTGGAAGTAGTGGCCACTTACTCTTCCAGGAAAGAGGTATGATTGGAGCTCAGGAAGACTTTGCAGAGAAAGTGAAGTTTGAACTGTGTTTTAAAGCCTAAAGACCAAGCAAAGGGAGAAGGGTATTGCAACCATGGAGAACAACAATAGCAAGGAAAAGGAGGCAAATAGCAACATGGCATTCTTTGGGAGTTGGGAGCTCAGTGTGCTTGTGGTAAGGTCTGGTAAGGCTGGGGCCAGTGATGGTCCTTGAATTGGTCCTTGAATGTCATATTATTTAAACTTTATCATAGTCTAGATAATCCTTTTCAGCATTATTTTTGTTTTGCTTTGTTTTGTTTTTTTTGAGACAAGGCCTCACTCTGTCACTCAGGCTGGAGTGCTATGGCAAGATCTCGGCTCACTGCAAATTCTGCTTCCCGGTTCGAGTGATTCTCATGCCTCAGCCTCCCAAGTAGCTGGGACTACAGGTGTGCGCCACCACAGCCTGGCTAATTTTTGTATTTTTAGGGCTTCACCATGTGGACCAGGTTGATCTAAACCTTCTGGCTTCAAGCTATCTGCCCACCTTGGCCTCACAAAGTGTTGGGATTACAGGCATGAACCACTGTGCCTGGCTTTTTGCAGCATTTTTAAGCTGAATTTTAAGCAGAGAAGTGATATGATTGGATTTTCTTTGGAAAATAGCTACAGTGATAATGTTTTAGAACTAGGGAGGGAAGAGCCAGAAGGCCGCAGGAAAAGGAGGATGCAGTTGCCATAGTTATAGTGAAATAGGAGAAGGATCTAAACTAAGATAGGTTAGAGAGACTTTTAGAAAACAGAGCAGGCCGGGCGTGGTGGCTCAAGCCTGTAATCCCAGCACTTTGGGAGGCTGAGGCGGGTGGATCACGAGGTCAAGAGATCGAGACCATCCTGGTCAACATGGTGAAACCCTGTCTCTACTAAAAATACAAAAAAATTAGCTGGGCATGGTGGCGCGTGCCTGTAATCCCAGCTACTCAGGAGGCTGAGGCAGGAGAATTGCCTGAACCCAGGAGGCGGAGGTTGCGGTGAGCCGAGATCGCGCCATTGCACTCCAGCCTGGGTAACAAGAGCGAAACTCCGTTTCACACACACACACACACACACACAAAAAAAAAAAAAAAAAGAAAAAAGAAAACAGAGCAGGATTTAATAACTAGCTGGAGGATATGGGAAATATGTTTGAAAATAATCTGACGTTTTGGAATTGCTTAACTGGGTGAGTGGAGATGCCACTAATGAGGGTAACAAATATAAGGTGAGGAAGAAGTTTTGAGAGAAAGACAGTGAGTGAGTGGAGGTAACTGTGGAACATCCAAGTGGAGATCCCAGGATATGTAGCCTTTTCTGTAGCTGTGCTGTAATGTCACATAGTCGAGATCAGCCAAACATTACAATAGGACCTCAGTCTAAAAAGACACATCAATTTAATAACTCACTTAAAAATATATCAAACTTATCTAATGACCATTACATTATATTTCAGATGAGTTCCTAGAGAGCTCTGATTCTTATGTAAGTGCCAGTGAAGGAAAAAAAGATTGGAGACTCAAATAACGAGGGTATTATAAGCTGCTGGGAGAAACTGAAAAAGAGAAATACAGACCAGAGTCGTTCAAAGGAACAAAGATAAGGAAATGGCAGGAGTGTTGCAGAGAGAAGTGGTTTCTAAAGACACAGGTATAGGCAGATACGGAATACAGAGAAGAAACTTGAGCTGGTGCTTCCAAATAACTATACTTCTTCAGTGGTAAGAT